AAAAATTTAGGCCAATTTTTTGTAATAATTAAATCATCATTCGTGAAAACGACGACCGATAAATAAATAAAAAAACGAAAAATTTACGACGACTTGCGCTCAAACGAATTTTAAAGTCTTGCCAATAACCAAATAATAATAATAATAATATTACTAATAATAATAATAATAATATTACTAATAATAATAATAATAATAACAACAACAACAGTTATTATTATCATTATTATTATTTACAAAGCGTAAAATTATTATTTATCGATAAATTCATCGATACAAGAAAAAAAAAGAAAAAAAATTAATAATTATTGATTGACGCGCCATTTTTAAATCGATTTAAATAAATAAATGAATCGGGGGGAAATTTGTCGCGGAAATTAAACAATATAATAATAACATTTGTCGCAAAATTGTTAAAACGTGATAAACGTCATAAACATAAATTTCCCCGATCAATTTTCTTTTGTTTTGGTTTCCCCTTTAAATAAAAAATTATTATTTGTTGTTAATAATTAGTGACGATATTAATAATAATAATAATATTTATTCAAACGTTAGTAAAAAAATCAAACGACACGGATTAATAATAATAATAATAATAAAATGAGGAAAAAAAATTATTTACGTTTGTTTTCGTTTTGTTTATCCGTTGAAAATTTACGTGGAAAACATTCTTGTTTCGTGTAATTAAAAAAAAAACAAGACGCGAATATAAAAACTGTAAAAATCAAAACAAAATATTTATTTCGATATTAATGATAATAATAATAATAATTTTTTTTTGTCGGCGTTCTATTTCGTGGGTGTTTTATATATATAATTAAAAAAAATAAATAAAATTAATTAATTAACGAATGTTTGTTTGACGTGTAAAAAGCAGGTGCGATACACATTTCAACGAAACGTATCCACCGATAATCAATCGTTTTTAAAAAAAATTAAATCCCCTCGTTAAAATTTGGCAAAAAAAAAATTAACGATTAACTTGTTTTTTTACAGATCTGCCAACCTTAAAATTTTTACGATATATATAAACAAATAATTTTTCTCATCGTTTTTTTTAAAAGTAAAATTAAAAAATTTTTTTTTTTTTATTAAATAATTTTTTCTAGAATGAACACATCGCAGCAAAACGGGGGGGGGGGAAGGAGGGGGAGGGCAGGGAAGGGGGAGTAAAAAACGACATTTTTAAATTTTTTGGTATAAATTAAATTAAATAAAAATGCTCCGAGTCAAATAATAATTTTTTTTTAAAGAAAATCCAGTAAGAAATTCAAAAAAAAAAATGTTTCCAGTTTTTCCCTTTTATTCCTTCCTCCTCCTTTCTCCCCCCTTTTCCCTTTTTTTATGTAACATGTTTTAACGTAAATTTATACACGTAATACGATGTAATAATAATAATAATAATAATAATAATGATAATGATAATAATAATAATGATAAAAACATGTTATATATGTAAAATCGGTAAATTTTTTACTCTCTTATTGTTATTATTATTTCTCCTTTTTAAGAAAAAACAAAATGAAAAGAAAATTTAAATTTTATTAATAATAGCAAATAAATTTTTCCAAACGAAAGGAAATTTATGTAATAATTCCCCCCTTCCTCCCCCCCCCCCCGGATTAAACAAATTCAAAAAAAAAAACGATAAAAACAAAGTTTAAGAAAAGAAAAAATAAAAGAAAAAATTCAACAGGTCAGTTTAAAGTTAGTTAAACTTTTTTATCATTTCGATTGAAAAATTTTTTTAATAAATTAATTTAAAATAATAATAATTAAGATCGTTATATTAATTAATTATCGAAAAACTATTAATTGATTATTAATAAATATTTATCGAATCG